CCTGAACCTCTCACCTGATGTCTCTTCTCTACACATCCCTTCTCCAGATTGATGTTTACCCATTTCCCCACTTTATACCTCCAACCACTCTTTAAAGGAGTGGGGCATCCTCTAAAGTGGCACTCCTATCCACCATATTGCTCAAATCTGGGTATTCATCTCTCACTTCCAGACAAGACAAATCTTTTTTTAATTTGCCCTCCAAGGGTTTCCTGAGAACTGAGGAGATAAGATGGCAACAGAAGGGAAAAAAAAAGTCTTATTTTCCTGGAATTTCCTCACCCAAACAGTGAAATAAACAACCACCACCACCACCTGTGGACAGCACCTTTAGCATAACTAGGTTACTCCATGAACCAGAAAATATGAACAGATGACAGACGCCAACAGCAGTAATATCTGCATGATGTCAATTTTGCAGGATGAGATTAAAATGAAGGCAAGGGGAATTCTGAAGATTGAGCACCAGGAAACCCAGAAAGCTCTACTGGGAGAGGGCTCTATCTGGGAGTAGAAGCTTGGTGGACTTATCAGAGAACATCAGCCAAAACTAGGAGTCTCTGCAGGCTCCCAGTTGCAGGTGAGTGGGGGAGGATTGCAGGAAGTTTGGGCAGAGCTCCGGGCCCTGTGAGCTCTATAGGTACCAGCCAACTGAGGCTCCCTCACCAGAGAGAACCCCACGTTACAAAGAATTTACTGGAAGCTGAATCTAAATTGAGCAGAAGAGAGACACTAGAGGAAATGAAAGGAGAAGATTGGATGAAGGGACTAGAGAACAACAATTTCAGAAAATACTATCTATATGGCTAAAGTTCTAAAGAATTTTTGGTAATAACAGAAGCGGGAATCCAAGAACTGCAGGTCTGGAAAATCTACCCTGCACCATCCTCATTTCTCTACACAAGAGAATTCTTTCCTAAGAATACAGGAAAACACATTTCACCTATACTGAGCAGCAGAAGAGGATTGTGATCAAATCCCATACAAAGCTATTGTAAGAAAAAGAATTATGAGAATAATGTCCCTATAGAAAATGAATGCATTCCACAAAACAGATCTGCAAAACAACTGAATACTGAAACTTAAAATTTTGAAACAAGCTAAAATAAATTAAGAAACCAATGGATGCTATGAGACTCACAGCATAAATGAGCTTGTTAGACAAAAAGAACATTTCAAAAGAGCGCTGACAGGAAGGACAACTTACTAAAGGAAAACTACTTCAGAAAAAAAAAAACTAAGTTGAAGGAATAAAAGGGAGACTAGAGACCACAGACAATATCATAAGGTAAATGGAGTATGGAAAGGAAGAAAATAAAAAAATTAAAGTCAGACAGAAATTAACAAAGACTTTTAAAGAATGCAAGAAGAAAGTGACAGGTATAGACGATGGAAAAATAAGATCCAACGTACATACAATTCCCCAGAAAAGAACCAAAAACAATGCAAGAGAATAAATACTAAAAACAATGATTCAATGTTGTTTTTAAAAAAATATCTCCTGAAATAAATAAGATTTGAACTTGCATCTTGAAGAAGTTCACCATGAGCCTGGGAAATCAACCCAGAATAGTAAACATTAAGACAAGTTCCAATAAAACTATTGAATTATATGGAGAGCAGGAAAAAAAAAAAAAACAGTTGGACATCCAAAGAGAATAAGTGCTTGACATCAGGGGAAGCAAGTTAGCTTGGCATCAGATTTCTCTACAGCAGCCTGTGTACCAGAAGACAACTAAGCAATATGTTCAAGATACTCAGGAAAAGAAAAGGAGAACCAAGGATTTTATATACAACCAAGTTGACTTTCAAGTATGAGAACCACTAGTACAAACATGAAAGGACCCAGAAAATATTATTTCCCATGAAGGTTTCCAGAGGAATTTACTAGAGCTCAAGCTACAGATAACCAAATTGACTGGAAAGGTATTAACATAAGGACTGGGGGTACACATTAAATACATAATCACCTATATAATTCACACTAAATTATGGCATTGTGGCACATACCTGTAGTCCCAGCTACTTGGGAAGCTGAGGCAGGAGGATTACTTGAGACCAGGAATTTAAGGCTACAGTGAACTGTGGTTGCATCTGTGACTAGCCACTGCACTCCAGCCTGGGCAACATAATGAAACTCCATCTCTATCAATAAATAAGTGCATGCATACTATAATGGAGATAATATAATATGTTTTTTTTTAAATGCCTCCTGAAATAAATGAGAAGATTTGAACTTACATCTTGAAGAAGTACACCAAGAGCCTGGGAATATCAACCCAGAATAGTAAACATGAAGACATGTTCTAATAAAACTATTGGACTTTAAGAAGAGCAGAAAAAAACCTGTTGGGCATACAGACAAAGAGAATAAAATGTAATCGTTGTGTGTTCTGATAATATGGGTGTAGTCCAAGTATTAAAAATTAGAAGAAAATGGGGAGCCTGTACATGAAAAAGTAGAATAAGTATTCCAGATTGACTGAAAATTGAAAGCAAATGAATGTTTCTTCAAGTTAAAAGCTAGAGGACAGGGAGGAAAAAGAAATAGAGCCTACTAACTAACTTCAGTATTCCTTAGTAGGGAGCCAGCAGACAGTGTCAGAAAGGGGAGGACTAAGGGTATTGTATCAAGGTGCTGATTTAATGGTGACCAGCAAAATAAAATGATAGACTTTTCCCCCAGAGGTAGGGGAGCAAAATGGAAAAGTCATCAGAGAATATATTGCCTCTCATATGAACCTTAGGGCCCAACATGCCCTCTTTTGTCTCTTCTCCAATCTTAAAAGGCATGCCTTGTCCAGGCAGTCTTCTCTGATTGCCCTAGCACAGGTTACTGATCCCCCTCATCTCCCTCTCCTAGGCACTGGGCACCTTGTTTTGCTCACGTAAGGACAGAGATGAAGTGCTGTATATAATTGCATGGTACCTTTTTCAGAATCTGACACAGGGTTCTGCACACAGAAGGTGCTCAATAAATGCTGGTCCATCAGTAATCAGGACTGGTTGGAGGATATCGGTTTATACCCTCTGGGATATGTATATTTCTAAGAGCTGAATGTTGCTATTAGTTGGAATTCTTTATCTTTGAAGTGAGGGAAATTCAATTCAAAGTGACTTAAGTAAAATAAGAATTTTTAGACTTCTGAAATGGAATGTTCTAGGGTAGGTCTGATTTCAGGGATGACTGGATCCAGGGACTCAAGTCATATCAACAATATCTGCCTTTGCTCTAGACTCTTGTTTCCTCCATGTTGGCTTTATTCTCAGGCAGGCTTTTCCCTCATGGTCAGTGATGGCCTCTACCAGTTACACGCTTTATACCCACAGCAAAAAAAAAAAAAAAAAAGGGTGTCCTATTTGCAAACGCTCCAGTAAAATTCCCAGGATTGAGTTTCATTGGCTTGACTTGCATTATGTACTCATCCCTGAAGCAATCCCTGAGACCAAGAGAAACGCTTTGATTGGCCAGGCCTGGGTCATGTAACCATCTCTGAATCTACCTCTGAGTGGGGAAGAGTTGGCTTCCCAAGGAAAACTGAGGTGTTGTTATCCAAAAAGGAGAGATGGAGGCTGAGCAGACAAGACAGCAGATGGCCATTTTAGTGTTGATGTGCTCAAAGGGCAGACTGCGAGGAAAATTACCTGCAAGAGATAAGCATTGACTTGGGGGTGGGGAGGGGGGCATGTCTTTGGAGGAGTTCTCATTTTAAGAAATGTTCTAATAGAGCTCTCTAAAGAAAAAAAGGAGCTGTGTCATAAAATAGTGAGTTCCTCCCTGTCACTGGTGGTAATCAAGCAGAGACAGTTCGGAATCGTCAGGAGTACTCGGAAGAGAGTGCTGTGTTGGGAGAGAGGTTACACCAGAAGACTTCTGAGGCTGATTCTGACCATGAAATTCTGGTACTGATGAAGATGGCATCAGTACGGGGACAGGTCCCCATGATCTTGCATCTGCCACTTCCCAGTGGTGTGGTCTGGGTCACCTTACTCAACCTCTTCCTTCCTCCGCCGATGTTAAAGGGAGCTAATAATAGCACCTACGGCACAGGCTTGCCATGAATATGTGAGAGCGGCAGAGCGTGAAGGGCTCGGCAAGGTGCCCATGCGTCGTCGACTTGAGCAGAAGATGTTTTCTCTATATTTATATACTTAGTGCCAAGGCCTGCTCTCTAGATGGCACTTGATGCCCAAGTGTGAGTCTCGTCAGCTGCATTTGGGTTGGAGCTGCAGATTTTCCTTGGTAGCTTCTAGGGGCCGGACTCAAAGTGAGCCCTGAGGGACGTGTTCGAGAAACCGCTGTCATTCTCCTGTGTGTGGCTTGCTGTCCACAGCAGTTTTGTCAAAGGGGTGCCTGGGGACTGAGATTGTGGAAGCCTAAAGGGGGTGCTCTATTTTGAAAGGTGATAGGACTTGGTAGGCCTCCCTCACTCATCCCCTTCCCTCCCCTCTTCTGCCCAGGTCTCTGAGGCAAATGCATCCTGCCTGGACAGACTCTTGTGACAGTTTTCCCATGGTAATCTTTATCACAGGGAAAAGAAAGCATCTGTTCTGGCAGAAACAGGACTTACCCTGTAGACAGGCACTGGGTCCCCAGGGGCTTATGCTCCATATTATATGAACTCTTACCACAGTCCTGACAGGAAAGTTTCTTCCCTACTTTGCAAATGAGGAAACTACGCCTCAGAGAGGTTAAGTAACTTTTGCAAGCCACAGCTGAGGCCAGGGTCCTAAACATCCAAATTCTTGCTATTCAGTGAGCTATTATTCATAACCTCTGGCAAATTCTGGAATTAATTGAGCATATTTGTATTTAATCAAGTGGTTCCTGAGAATAGAACTTCTTTAAAGAGTGGTCCTGAGAGGTTAGGAAGCTTGATTATCTCTTTGTGGAGTATTTTGGGGGGTTAGGGTGTGGGGGGGGATTTCGGAGACCAGTACCACCCTCTCACCACACATCTGACTTCTCTTTATGCCAACGTCTTTGTGCCTTCCTACAGGTCTGGGTAGATGCTGGAACGCAAATCTTTTTCTCCTATGCCATCTGTCTGGGCTGTCTGACTGCTCTGGGAAGTTATAACAATTATAACAACAACTGCTACAGGTGAGCATTTCCCCAGACCCTGCCAGTTCTCTACACACCCCAAGAGCCCTCCATACTGCCGGGCCAGTTTATGTTCATCTGTCCACCTTGCAAAGTCCCCGGAATAGACAGGTGGGCTATCTCCCGCTACCCAAGGGTCAAAGAGTGGGTCACCAGAGGAGCTGGGAAAATAACCAGTGTAATCAGAGTCCATTCCAGGCTGCAAAGCACATCCACCCCTGGAATCTCATTCGTGTCTCCGTGCCACTGTGCACAATAAATATGTGTCCCAGGGTGAACAAGTGACTTGCCTCAGGTCACACAGCTAATGCATACACCAAGGACTTTGTCCTTCTGCTGCTTCCTGCCCTTTCTCACCTGACTGCAGGGTCCTCACCTGCCCCACCAGGGGCCAGTGCAAGCCTTGCCACTCAGTCTGAACTGCCTCTCTGGCCTCACCAGGGCTTGGAGCGGCCAGGTAGGGAAGCGAGCCCGAGGGTGTCTGTTCCTCGCCATCTGGTCTCTTGTGCCTGTGGCCTGAGCTCCACAGGAAGGCTGAGACCCACAGAGAGCAGGGGACTTGCCCAAGGTCACACGGTATGGCATGTAGGGAGTGATAGTCTAGGATGATGGGCTGTCTGTTGAGGTGTCTGCACCCCTGAACTCAGTGCTGGTATACAGTAGATGACTATTTCATGATAGACAGACAGTGCATCTCTTCTTTAGAGTCTGAGAGCTCCTTAATTGGGATAAGACTGTGGAATAATGACAGAGAAACCATCCCCGACCACAGATGAGTTGAGACAGGAAGGGGTTTCCACCAGATGAGTCTGAGATAGGGTAAGTATTTAGGGGAGATGATCGAGTTAGATCCTCATATCTCATCCATATGCTTATGATAATCAGTGTCAGATTGATGAAAACATTAAATTTTTTTTTTAAAGGAAACCATCCTATAACTGGGAATAAAACATTAATCTCAGAATAGGGAGAAAATGTAGAAAACATCAAAAATAATTAAACCACAAAGGAACTGTGTGACAGATTGGTTCACATAAAAATCTAGAACTTCTGAATTTCTGGAAACATAGAAAACTGTTCCAAATAGCCAGTTCTACAGGGCAGAAGCAGGAAGTCAGTGGTAGGAAGGTTGACTTTTTCCCAGTTGAACCTCCTGAACCATTTAAGTGGGTTGTTTAACTCTGAATAATATTGCTTTTGTTTTTGTAATTTAAAATCAAGTTAATAACAAATACCATCTACCTACTTAGTCTCCAAGTAAAATCTGAAAATTGCCTGCAAAATCAAAAGGCATGCTAACAACATATAATATGATAATCAAGGGGTCTGTATTCATCATATATAAAGAATACAAACAGATCAACAGATTGATGTGAAACACACTAAAACACCAGTAGAAAAATAAGCAACACATTCTTAAAATAACGACGTATATTATCTGTTAGACCATTAGCGAATTGTCAGTGGTCTCAAAATGAATACCTAGGCAGTGTAGGCGAGGGTACACAGGAGGGTCATGTCACACTCCACTGGTGGGACAGGAATCCACAGCCACGTCGTGCGGTCATTGGGCAGGTCAAGTGGCACCGTGTGTTTGAAAGGACGACTGTGCATGATACGGTTGCTCCCACGTAACCCCACCTTTGAGATGGGCAACGTGAAACTTGTGGAGATGGTCCCCAGCTGGATGCAGCAGTGTCTGGAGTCAGACCAGTGTCCCTCCATGTCCATCCCTGGGCTCTCTGTTCCTCCTTTCCAAAAGCCGGGTTAGTGATCATGTCATCATTCGTGGCTTAAGCTGGCAATGTTTACTGTGTATCTGAGCATGAGGCACTGGGATCAGTGCCATGGGAGAGACAGACAGCAATGGCACTGTCCATAGAGTTAGTAATTTGAGGAAACTGAGGCACTGAGAAAGTTAAAAGTGGGTAAGTCCAAGAGGCTGAAAAGAAAAGAATCCAGCATGCCATTGGGCGTGAGTTCTGTTGTTCTGCTGACTTCCCCATGGGGTCTTCTGGTGAGAAGTAGTTGAGTATGACTGGACCTGTAAGGAGGCTTCCAGGCTTAGCCAGAAGATGTAGTCTGGGGCACGGGAGGTAGAGCCCCCTGTCAGCCACTGTCCCAAATGTAAACCATGGGCAGGAAAAGCCAGGCCCTGGGATGGCAAGGCAGGTGTTCAGGCTAGGCGAGTCTGACCCCTTGGGATACTGCAGAGGCTGTCTGTGTATAGCGGCCACCCCATCAGGAGCTGGCAGTCGATGCGGGGCCCCCCCCGAACAGGGCAGTGCAGAAATCACTCGGTCGTTGTCGCCTCTAGCTAAGCTGTCAGTAACCTGAGGACACAGGCTGGGTGCACTTGTTGTCCACTGTATCCCTCGGACTCAGCTGAGTGCTGGCTTACCAGCAAGGAGGTGGGACACAGACAAGAACACAACGGCCATGCAGGCTACGTCCTTGCTCGTGTTCACGTTGCCAGTGATGGCGTGTGCCTTTTCACCGAGGCCTTCTGCCTCCTGGCCCTCTATTCCTCACTACCAGGGCTGGCCAGTTCTTTCCCTGCTCCTGAAGCTGTAAGGATTTGGTCACAACAGCCTTTTTTCCAGCCCATGTCTGGGTCAGTGGCCGCCTTTTGCCCCACTGTGTGCGTGGTGATGGATGCTGTCTGCTGTGAGTCCCTTCTGCGGCCCCATCCAGCAGGCAGGGTTTTGTTCCCTCTCCCACCAGCAGGAGAAAGCAAGTCCCCTCGGTGACACTGCAGCATCAGAAGATTCATTTCATTCCAGTGTCCAGATTATTCCGCAAGTGGGTCGTCCTGACTAAGACAGAGTGAATTAGTGCTCCCTCTCCTGACACCATAATAGCTTCTGGAGGTCTTAAAAGCCCAGCTCGGCTCCTGCTGACTTCAAAGCACCGTTACATAAGGCTTTCACCTAGATGTGGGCATGGGGGAAGGAATTAGAGGGACAGGAATGGAGCAAACCAGACAGGGAAAATCCTTCCTTCAGAAGACAGACCACTAAGCTCCCTCTGCTTGGAGGCATGGATGCACTGGGGGCCAGGGGGAGGGGGCAGGTCACGGGACTGGAAGGGACCTCAGGTCCCTCAAAAGCTTCTCTGTCCCTCCATCTGTCTCTCTGTGGTGTAAGGAAGTCACTTGAGAGGCCTCTGTAGGAAGATGGGGATTCTGTAACAAGGGACCTTGTTTTTCAATACCCGTGTGAATGCCCAGAGATCATTTTCAAAAGTCAAGGTTTGGATGTCTCAATTCTTAGGATGTATTATTTTTGTTTAGTTCCTAGAAAGAGTATGGGCCTCGGGGCTTTGGGACAACTGGAGTCACACCCCAGCTCCAGGGACTGACTGTGAAATCCTGAATGTGAGACTCACCTCCCAAGCCTCAGAATTCAGTGATACCTAGTGCCTGGCTGGATATACCCACAGGCCTTGAAAGGGTGATTCGGGAGAGTTCCAGAATATGGAGATGTTCCCCAGTTCCTTCTTACTTCCCACTGTTTGATCAAATCAGGTCCGTTTGCCCTGGACTCCAGGAAGCAGGCCCCGAGGGGTGGATTTATCCCAGCCTTGAGAATAAGTCTGTCCTTACCTGGGCTCCACTGAGTTTCTTTTTGAGCGGAGGTAAATCAGACTTGTACACGAAATCCTCAGGTCTTCTAGCCTAGCTGGCATTCACAGTGCCAGATGAGTTCTTCAAGGCAACCTGTATCAGTCATCCGCTGCTGCAGTAATGCCGTGTAACAAACAGCCCTGCAGGCAAGACTCCCCACAGCCAGTGATTGCTGTTACTGCTCATGTCTGCCAGTCAGCTGGGAGGCTACCCTCCAGGCTGTGGGCTGGATGGGTTTAGCTCCAGGGTCCAGGCCAGCCCCAAGTCTGCTGCATGGGGTCTAGGCTGAAGGGACAGCAGCTCCCCTGGGGAGGTTTTTCTCATGGAAAATCACAGAAATGACATGGGACAAGTCCAATCATGCGAGCACATCTCAAGCCTCTGTTTGTGTCACATCTGCTAACATTCTGTTGTCCAAAACAAGTCACATGGCCAAGTCCACAGTCAGTGGGGCAGGGACATGCACTCAGCCCCAAGGAAGAAGGTCAGGGAGTGACGACTTGCTGAAAAATGATGTGATCTAGCGCAAAGTCCAAGAGACCCTGTTAACCAAGCACCTTGTCTTCTAGCCAGTGAGATCAGGTTCAAAGATAAAGTATTTCAGAGAGAATTGAAGTCCAAGGCTCTTGACCTAACGCTTTGTCCACCGTGCCTTTTATTCCTAGGGTCATTACAAGACAGCAGGGTGTTACCATCACCAACAACATTAGTGTAACCTCTGGTCGCATTACAAAAAGTATGGTGTCAGGAGAAGAGGAGGTGAGAGTCCTACTCTGTTCTTGACTGCAGTCCTGGATGTAACTACTGAAGAGAGGCTGGACACACTTTAATGGATTACAGATTATGAGCAGGATGAGGAATTGTAAGGGAACTGGGATGTTTCTCTGAAAGAATAAAAACTCAAGGGGTGGTAGAACCACGATCTTTAGGTCTCCCAAACCCGAAGGAGCACTGAGCTGTTTTGAAAAGTAAAACTAAAACTTAACCAGAGAAGGTGGATTTGGATGAATCCACCATGAGGAAGTCCTTGGCGCTTTAGGCCACGAGTGGCTGTCCAACAGGGAAAAGCAGTGCTGAAGAGGCGGCCAGCTTTGGGCCCTGGCATGGATGCAGCCTGCCACTCGGATGCTGTGGAGGCTGCTTGTGCCTCTGGCAGGAGGTTGCACAGGCTCCCCTGGGAGCTCCACCCCTGCAAAGTGGGGCCTTGATGCCGATCATACACCAGGAGCCCCAGGGCAGGCACCGCGGGGACTGAGATGTACGATGCCAGTTCCCTGACTCGGCCACGTGAGACTCCAGCCCAGGTAGGAGGCCAGGACTGGAGGGCACCGTCTTCTTCACTTGGGCAAAGAAAGCATCATCATGTATAGTGTGATGTCTCCTGGCTCATTGCTTGATGCTGGCATGTCCGTCCCAAGAGCAGGGGACAGTCACTGCTGTGATACATCTCTCCGAGCAGGGACCCACCTGGAAGGGGCTGCCCTCTGGCGGCAGCAGGGCAGGGACTGAACAGCGAGGTCTGGCAGATGCCCCCTGGGAGAGAGCCTGGCCAGGGGGTTATCGCAACAAACCTTCTCCTCTTGGGAGCTGCAGGGATGAGCTCTGAGATTGCTCCCCAGGCTGAGACACAGCCGTTTCTCACAAGGAGGCTTCTCCCGCCCTGCTTGTTTTGAGCTCCCAGGAATACAGTCCTCTCTTGCTTTCTCGGGCTTTCTCTTCTACCTGGACTTGAAGGAGTGTTGGTTTGCCTCCAAGTATATTCTCACTAGTTCTGAGTTTTCCCACATACCAGTTTCCTTGCCTTCCCACCCCCTCTGTGCATTAGGTGAGTGACCTACCTTATCTTCTAGAAATGCAGGAGAAGTTGTGTGGCCATGAGCCAGCCACCTAACCTTGCCGAGCCACGAGTGCTCCTTCAGATGGTGAAGCTCTCTGTACCTGCCCCTCCCTTCCTGGTGCTCAGGAGGAGACCGCGCGCGCAGTGTGCCTGTCCTGTCCGCTCTGACACCAGTGCCTCTGCTGCCTCCCACAGGGACTGCATCATGCTCTGCTGCCTGAACAGCGGCACCAGTTTCGTGGCCGGCTTCGCCATCTTCTCGGTCCTGGGCTTCATGGCGTACGAGCAGGGGGTTCCCATTGCCGAGGTGGCAGAGTCAGGTAAGCTTGCCAAAGGTGGGGATGGGAAAGGAAGGCCTGGGACGGGCGTGGGTGATGGTGATGATGAAGCAGATATGTTCTCCCTCCTCGACTTATTCAGCCCCTGGGTTCAAGGATTCGGAAGGTGTCCCCACCGTCATCCATAATCCAGGATGCTGTGTCGCTGGGACACCTCCCTGACACCTCTTCCCTCCCGAACTCCCCTGCATACTGTAGATTCTGTCTTCACGTTGTTCCCCTTGCCCCACTGATTCCCACCACGCAGTGTTAGGCGAGATAGAATATATACAGCGCTGTTTTTCCGCGTTTTGTCATTATTTCCATTTTACAGAGCATTCCCTAAGAAGAGTCATAGAAAGGAAAAGAGCCTAAAAATAAATCTTGTTAGAGTACTTTCTTATTTCAAATTGAACGCATATTCATTATAGTAAAATACAGAAATACTGACAAAGGAAAAATTATTTCAGTCCCAATCCAATACAGTGCTAGGATTTTTCAAGCATATCCACAGGAAGTTCCTAACTTACGAATGAGTTCCATTCTGAGAACGCATTTGTAAGTCCCATTTGTTTGAAGTTCAACAAAGTTAGCCTAGGTACCCAACTAACACAATCAGCTATACAGTACTGTATGTATTTAGCAGGCTATACTGACACCTGGTGGGGAGAAATAACACATAAAAAAGCAGGTGTGCATCATTAAAGTTCGTAACTCGAAGGTTTATATGTAGGGGACTTACTGTAACTGTAAATGTGGTCATCAAAACTGGGTCATATTATCCTTGGTAACATGTAGGTTAAATGTTTCCATTTACGGTGAATATGAGGCACTTACTGCTCAGTAAAAGGAGACCTCTCTCATGAGTTGTTAATGTCTGTGTAGTATTCCATTGAATGGATGTACTATAATTGACTTCCTCTGTCATTTTCCAGGCACTAGGCTAGTTGTTTTCATACACCACCTCATGAAATGCTCATGACACCTCTGCAAAGGAGGCTGTATCAGGGCCCCTGCCCATGGCTGTGTGGCTGCCCTGCACAACTCCAGCAGGAGCTATTCACACAGAAACAGCTTTGTAGTTTCCATTGCAGATGAGGAACCTGTGGCTCAGAGAAGTGAAGTGGCTCACTCACTATCACACAGTCTGACTCTGGCCTTCTCTGCCTCACTTTCTTGTGTTGCTCCCCATGCCAAGCAAGAAATCCTGCTCTATGCCCTGGGTTGGGGGTGTGGATCAGACCAAGATACTCTTTGGGAGTCTTTGCTGTTTGGAGAAAAGTAACTAAATATGTAGCCACCTCACCTTTCTCGGAAGGACCTAGGCTCACTTTCTAAGGAATGATTTTTGGAAAATACCTGACCAGACGCCAGAACACTCAGTGGGATATTCCAGCACACCTTGGAGACTGAGGCAACACAGTGGAGTGTACTACCTGGAGGACTCAGGTTTTGCCCTGTTCTAAGCCCAGTGTCCGAGATTTACCGACCTTCTCCACATCTCCCCTCAGTCCATCTCTCTGATACTCTTACAGTCAGGGTACTCCCTTCTAGAATAGAGATTTTACACAGCTTATAGTTGGATCTTGCTTTTTAACCCAGTCTGGTAGTCTCTTCCTTTTAACTGGAGTGTTTGGTCCATTGGCATTTTGTAATTATCGATATAGTTAGGTCACAAAGTCTTTTTTAAGGCAGGAAATTTCAAAATAATAATTAGAAGTGAGAAGTGTCAGATATGTAGTGAAAGTACAAAGTGATGTTATTAAGTCTAAGTAGACTTTGGTAAGTTATAATCTATGTTTTTGGCCCAGCTGCTTGGACTAGTAGAAAGAGTAGAGCTAAAAGACCAATAGCTTAAAAATATTGATTAGCCCAAAATAATGCAGGAATAGTACATTAGACTAAAACAAAACAAACAAAAACAGAAAACTAAAAAGAAAAAAATACAAAGCAATAGACTTAAACCCAACCATATCAATAATTACATTAAATGTAAATGGACCAAATACACTAATAGAAGAGATTACCGGTCCAGATTTAAAAAAAAAAAAAAAAAAAAAAAGACTCACCTATGTCTAAAAGAAGCATCCTTTAAACTTAAAGGCACAGATAAAGTATAAAAGAATAGGAAACAAATGCAAACAATAAGCATAAGAAAACTGACTTGTCTATATTAGTATTAGACAAAGTATACTTCAAGTCCTAAAGTATTACTGGAGATAAAAAGAGACACTCATCATGATAAAAAGGGGGATTCACTGAGAAGACATAACAATCCAAGATGTGTTTACACCTGATAACAGATATTTGAAATATATGGTGCTAAACTTGAAAGAACTAAAGAAGAATACAGACAAAACCACAAACATAGTTGGAGACTTCAACACCCCTCCCTCACTAATGATAGAATAGCTATACAAAATATCAATAGAGACATAGAGATCTTAGCAATACTATTAACCACATTGACTTAATTGACATTTGTAAACCACCATACCCAACAACAGCAGAGTACATTTTTTTTCAAATAAATATAGAACATTCACCAAGATAGACCATATACTGGGCCATAAAATAGGTCTTAATATGTTTCAAGAGATTTAAATTATACAGAGTATGTTCTCTGACTATTGCTAAATTAAATTAGAAATTCATAACCAAAAAAAGATGTTTAGAAAATTCCCAAGTTTGTGTGAGCAGCACACTTCTAAATATCCCCTTGTTCAAAGAAGAAACTATTTCAAACTTAATGAAAACACAACATATCACAATTGGTAGAATAGTTAAATTACTTAGAGAGAAACTTATAACCTTAAAAACCTATGTTAGAAAGAAGTGTTTAAAATTCAAAATCTAATTTTTTACCTCCAAATCAAAAAAATAAGTACAAATTAAACTCAAGATAAATAGAAGCAAAGAAATAACAACAGTAAGCCCACAAACAATAGAGAATATTTTAAAAGCCAAAATGGGTCTTAGAAAACATGAATGAAATTTATACTCCATAACCAAGACTAATCAAGGAAAAAACAGAAAAACGTAAATTACTAATATAAGAAATGTAAAAGGAGTTATGGCTATAGATTTTATAAACATCAAAAATGAGAACTAGGGACTATTATGAGCCTCTTTATGCAGATACATTTGGAAATGTAGATTGTATGAACAAATTTCTTTAAAGATGTAATGTACTTAAACCGACTCAAAAAGAAATAGAAAAAACTGAATAACTATATCTTTTAAAGAAATATATTCATTATTTTAAAAAAAAATTCACCAAGAAAACTCCAGGCAATGATGATTTTTCTATCAGATATTTACAAAAGAAATAATGTCAACCTTACACAAACTTTTTTAAAAATTAGAGGAGGTAAGATTTTTTAGTATCTGAGGATAATGACAGCTGTATAGCTACTTATCTCTCAAAATTTTCTTCCCACACAATAAGAAAAAACCAAGAAATTAAAAGTATATTCTGCGCAAAACCATATTCCTTGCATAACTTGAAGATAGAAAATGTTGAAGCCGCAAAGAACTGTAACAAAAAGAAAAGTCACCAAATTCCAGGGTGCAGTTTTTTGCACTCCTACCCATGACTGCACAGCTGCAAGACTTTGTGGGGAGCAGAGGTAGACTGGGAAAAACGGTGGGAAAAATGGAAAGGAGGGCAAGCAAAGGGTTCTGAGAGTTATTAGGAGCAATCACCAAGGCAAATCTACTCTGAATCTGAAAATACTGGACCAGCTGCAAGATCCTACAGCATAGATGACAGAAAAGGGATTTAAATAGGTATTATTTAAAGGGGGTGGAAACCATTTAAAGGGACAAACTTAATTTAAAGGAGGCTTCCTTTGAAACACGTGGCTTCTAGGGGAGGAAAAAAGGCAAAAAGGACAGGAGGAGTACTTTTTGACAATTAGATGGTGAAGGGAAAACCAAGGACAAGAGATAACATGTAAATTCCTGTAAACCAAAAAAGAACCATAAAATCACGAGGTAAAAAGGGGAACTCACCCTTTCCCCCAGCAGCAAAACGAGACCCTGCTGAAGTACGTGGACTTCACTATGCTGACAGGAGAGGGCACCACTGTACTGTGAATATTACGAAATACTCAATAACATTAAAATGAACTTGACTTTGAGAAAAGTCTAGTCCATGCCAGCTACTGCAGAAAGTCAGAAACAGACATTTCCCAGCACATGGCAGCAAAGAACCATGTGCTCCCCCTCTAAACACCAACTGTAAAGTAGGAAAAAACAGTGAGTTAACACTCCAGCAGAATTAAGTGTACTCACACAAGAATCTGAGGATGTGAAAAGCACCTTGAACCAGAAATTCACAACTAACAAATGGCCCAGCAGGGTTAGCAGGGAGGAAGAAATGAAAAGAGAGTTGATTGAACTCAGGAAAAAAATGGGAATTAAAGAAAAGACAAAATAATCTCAGCTGTGACGAATAAAGTACAAGGTGTCCAGTGGTGAATAATCTCAGCAAGAGGACCTGAAGAAAGGCAGAAAAACAACAAAGTGAATGAAGAGAGCATAAAGAAGTAAAAATGATCCCTCCCGAAAGTGGAAGTAGAATGTAGATAAAGAAGGAATAATATTTGTATGATCAGAGTCCCTGAAGAAGAAGAAGAAAACAGTAGTACAGATGTAATACTTAAAACAATAACATAAGACAACTTTTCAGAAATAGAGAGAGCTGAATCTACACATTGAAAGAATTCCTCAGTGATTTTTAGTACTAGGGAAAATAAAAGGATCAACGCCAAGACATCCTAGTAAATCTCTCTGCTTTCAAAGATAAAATCCTCAAGGTTTGCAGGCAAAATAGACTAAATAACGGCAAAAGAATTAGACGAGCACCACACTTTTCAAAACCAACATACAAAAAGCAAGGCAGCCTTGGCGCTGCTTTTTTAAAAAATTCACAAAAGGAAGGTATGAATCAAGTATTTCATATCCACCTAAATTTTCTTCAAATATTAAGGTCCTAAAAA